TCAAAATTAATGTATTGTAGATGCGCTACTAATCATGGAAAACTTGTAGTAAAGCATAAAGGGGAAGTGCAAAATGTATATGATGCGGCTTGACTGGGTTTAGAAAGAATTATCATCCGAACGGTAAATCTTTACGAGAAATCTCGACAAAAACGAACAAACGCCGCCGAACAAGTAGATTATTGGTCATACACGATAATCACCCTTTACGAGCTGTGTGAGATTTGATAATGACCTCTTCAAACAAACACGCTAATTTTTTGGTATTTATTTTTCTCGGAAACCAATTTTGTCAGAGTAGTGTACTTATGCCCCAATCCAGTATTAACTAATGGAGCAAATTCTACGATATATCTTAGTTTAGATATAATAGGATTACACTAACACTCTCCTTATGCCAAGTCTATCCTACACACACGTGAAAACCCCAATGGGTTGATTAGTTCGTAAATGATCCCCTTACTAGTAAGCTTATACATGTCTCTACCGACATACTTATCCTAGATGCCAGCTAATACTATTAAACTCAACGTTAAAACCCCTTTAAAACTCCCAGTGATCTCCAATAAATTGACGTACACCTCCAATATGATTGGGCAATTGGTTCTTAACGAGTAATTCTTTATGTTTGGCTCTCACATAGATTTGAAATACGCTGGATAAAGCGCGCGAACTTTCTAGACGCATCCTGTCTTTGCTGTAGTTTGTACTCAGCGTTAAGAGAGGATTGTTCTAATTCACCTCACATTAACTTCAGTTAACACCACGGAAGATCCGGTCTAAGTCAACAGCTATACATTAACCCGTAATAGTTCTCTTCCTGTTTCAACCTCGTAGTGAGTGGACTACTAATTAGTCTTGTCACGAATAAAAACGAGGATGACTAGGGTTTTAGGGTATGATTTCACTCATATGGATCCCTGATTCGATCCTTCCCAGACGGTTCGGGTTTCAGTGGGTTTTTTTAGTTTTTCAAAAGCCGAAACACCTGTTTGAGCGATATGTATTGAACCTTGCTGGACGAAGTAAAGTACTTGATCAGCCGGGTTTACTCTAAATGGTCTGAGCTCATACCTTTTGTTTAAAGATAGATCCAATAGCGATTCGTCAAAGCCGGCACAACGCGACGAGATCGTTGTATATTAGTAGTATCCCATGCCATGCACTGTGTTCTTTGTTCGTTCAAAGCCTTTATGTTAAGCGGTCTTTGACGTGGGCGGAGTTGTATCGACGCTCGTTCTTTATTTCTCTAATCGTTGAACTCCTAACCACCTTTTTAAACTCTAAAGTGCACATTAAATGCACCTATTACTAGCCAGTTGTTCTAATTATCATCTTCGGAACTCTTCTTTCTTTCTCGAGTTTCTTGCCACTTTACAAATTAACACTTTCATTTACCGAAAGACGGCGAATAAGCCAAGTCAAAATGGGCAGTACAGCTTCTGCGGATATGCGAATTCTTTTTGTTAAAAGTATAATTAAGCCTTTTTTGTGGTTGTGAAAGATAATAAAAGTTCGGTTTTAGTGGTTACCGCGTAAGTAACACCGTAAAGTAGGAGTTAGGTGTATGTTAAAGGGCCACTTGGACGAAAATCGCTCCAAAATTAAAACTCTTTCATTCGAGCTGGAACTTTGCTGAAATAATCT